CCAGCCACCACCCAGGAAAGAATTCTCTGTAGTAACTCAGATCCCACCCCATCTAACATCCCATCACAGGCCACTGGGCATATTTACCGCTAATAGTCAAAGACCAATCTTATTATACCATCCCCTCCATAAGCTTATCAAGCTTAGTCTTGAAGCCAGATATGTCTTTTTCCCCCACTGCTCCCCTTGGAAGGCTGTTCCAGAACTTCACTCCTCTGATGGTTAGAAACCTTCATCTAATTTCAAGTCTAAACTTCTTGATGGCCAGTTTATATCCATTTGTTCTTGTGTCCACATTGGTACTGAGCTTAAATAATCCCTCTCCCTCCCTGGTATTTATTCCTCTGATATATTTGTAGAGAGCAATCATATATCCCCTCAGCCTTCTTTTGGTTAGACTAAACAAGCCAAGCTCTTTGAGTCTCCTTTCATAAGACAGGTTTTCCATTCCTCATATCATCCTAGTAGCCCTTCTCTGTACCTGTTCCAGTTTGAATTCATCCTTCTCAAACATGGGAGACCAGAACTGCACACAGTATTCCAGATGAGGTCTCACCAGTGCCTTGTATAATGGTACTAACACCTCCTTATCTCTACTGGAAATACCTCGCCTGATGCATCCCAAGACCGCATTCGCTTTTTTCATGGCCATGTCACATTGGCGGCTCATAGTCATCCTGTGCCTGGTCAGCTTAACATTGGTACCCAGAAAGATAATGGAGCAAATAAGTTTGTAAGCACTAGAAGATAAGGTGATAAGTAACAGTCAACATGGATTTGTCAAGAACAAATAATGTCAAACCAACCTAATATCCTTCTTTCACAGCGAAACAAACGTTGTGGTTGGGGGGTGGGGAGCAGTAGATTTGATATAACTCAACTTTATTAAGGCTTTTGATACAGTCTCACATGAACTTCTCATAAGCAAACTAAGGAAATATAGCTTAGATGAACCTGCTATAAGGTGGGTGCATATCTGGTTGGAAAACCATTCCCAGAGAGTAATCATCAGTGGCTCACAAACAAACTGGAAGGGCACTGAGTAGGGCCCTGCAGGAATCTGTCCTGTGTCTGGTTCTGTTCCATAAATGGTTTGGATAGTAGCATAGAGATTACACTTATAAAGTTTGAGGATGATACCAAGCTAGGAGGGGTTGCAAGCAATTTGGAGGACAAGCTTAGAATTCACAATGATCTTAAACCGGCAAAATGGTCTGAAATAAATAGGATGAAATTCAATAAACACAAATGCAGAGTACTACACTTAGGAAGGAATAATCAACAGAACAAATACAGAATGGGAAGTGACTGGCTAGAAAGGACTGCTGTTGTAGCCATGTTGGTCCTAAGATATTAGCGCAGGGGTCGGCAACCTTTCAGAAGTGGTGTGCCGAGTCTTCATTTATTCACTCTAATTTAAGGTTTCGCGTGCCAGTCATACATTTTAACATATTTAGAAGGTCTCTTTCTATACGTCTATAATATATAACTAAACTATTGTTGTATGTAAAGTAAATAAGGTTTTTAAAACGTTTAAGAAGCTTCATTTAAAATTAAATTAAAATGCAGAGTCCCCCGGACTGGTGGCCAGGACCCGGGCAGTGTGAGTGTCACTGAAAATCAGCTCGCGTGCCACCTTTGGCACATGTGCCATAGGTTGCCTACCCCTGTATTAGAGAGGCAAAGTGGGTGAGGTAATGTCTTTTATTGGACCAACTTCTCTTGGTAAAAGAGACAAGCTTTCAAGCTTACACAGAGCTCTTCTTCTGGCCTGGGAATTGTACTCAGAGTGTCACAGCTAAACAAAAGGTGGAACAGACTGTTTAGCATAAGTAGTTAACATGTATTCTAAGGGACCATTCAAGGTGATGTGGCCCATTAACAGCCCTGCAGTCATGGAACAAAAAAAGGGGGGTTAATGAGTTACAGATTATGATAAGCTATAAATCTAGTGTCTTTATTAAGCCCAGGATAATTTTAATGTCTAGCAAAGTTATGAATTTAAATTCCCAGGCTCATCCTTTGAAAGGACCGTGCAGGTTGCCTTTGAGAACGAGGACTGAGAGGTCAGATATGGAGTGATCACTTTGTGGCAAGTGTTTGCGCACAGGTGATGTGGGCTTTTTGTTTTTGTTTTTTCATGATAAAAAATGCGTTCATTTGAGCGCATAGTGATTGACTGGTTTCACCCACAGAGTTGTTATTGGGGCATTTACTGCACGGATAAGGTACACTGCTGTTGTGATAGGGATGTGTAGGATCCAGGGGTCTTGAACGGTGTCCTGGGTAGCTATAATTATATGTTTGTATTGCAGTAATACCTTGGAACCCCAGCATGGACCAGTAGTCCACAGCACTAGGTGCTGTACACACACACACACACACACACACACACACACACACTATCCATCCTCCTAAAGATCTCTCTCATATTAATGTTTTCTTCTCAAAGATATTCTGCCTCTGCCTTAAAATACAAGATATGCACATGTATCCGTGTCAAAAGAAAGTTAAAAAGCCGAACAAGAAAGACTCAGAAAAGGAAAAGTAAGGGACGCAGAGGTGTAAATTGCCTCAGGCAATCTAATAAGTTTGCACAACTCCTCTGTGCTGTGTAGCTGAGCTCTAAGCTGTATCATCAGAACATTAAGTTTGCGGATGATACCAAACTGGGAGGGATTGCAACTACTTTGGAGGACAGGGTCATAATTCAAAATGTTCTGGACAAATTGGAGAAATGGTCTGAGTTAAACAGGATGAAGTTTAACAAAGACAAATGCAAAGTGCTCCACTTAGGAAGGAAAATCGTATTTCACACATACAGAATGGGGAAAGACTGTC